GGGCAGGTCTGAAGCTGAAATTGTGACGGGTTTGATTCTACATTGATCAACATAGAAGTGTTTATACAGTGCAGTCTGTAAGTATTTGGACAGTGACAAAACTTTCACAGAAACAAGCAGCCAATAGTCCAATTACTTTTGGTCCCCTGAAATGGGGAACTACTGTATGTATAAAAAGGGCTGTGATTCCTATATGGTTCACCCAATATAGGTGTAAATATACTTAGATTAAAGCTGACATGCAGCACTTTAACCTCATAGTCATTCTTTCATTTCAAATCCAGAGTACAAAGCCAAATCAACAAAAATTGTATCACTGTCCAAGTACTTACAGACTGCACTGTATACAAATACAACTATACAAAACCCATTTGACCGTTTAAGGGCTGAAAGTAAAAGTAAAGTATGTCCTAAACATAAAACTTAAAATGAGCTGAAATCTTCCTCCGGGACCAGGGTTGGAGAGCACTGATTTAAATAGTGTCGGGCAGGAACGGGATCGATAGTCTGCACTCATGTTGGAGCCAGACTGGAGGTCTCCACCAGCACACACCATGGAAGGATTCACAGTACTACTGTACCTCACCAGTCACTAAGCGCACACACGCTGTGTTCTACCACTGGCAAGAGAGCTTGCTGCAGCATGGAGGGCAGAGGTCCGCAAGCTGCAGTAACCAAGCAGAGATCGTTATTTAACAAGTTACATGCAGGGTTAGCATTCTCTCTGCGGCCTGGACGGAGCAGTGCACCGGTAATTGGTAATTTGGTAATTGATCCCAAAACTGACTCGGATCAAAATCTGTAACTAAGTATTATGGAATCTAATACATTTGCAAGAGCTTTCATCAATGGTTTTGATTCCTTCCCACATGTACTTTCTGGTTTAGGGAACGGAACGTCAAAATCTGATGCTCAGAGAGGTTCAGATATAGATGGCGGAAATGGTCAGTTGACACCCCAGATAGGGTTAGGGTTAAGATTCACACACTACTTAGAAAATTCTTGAGACAATTTTTACACTCTCTGGTGCATTCGGGGTCCCAAGGGAACTTTAGAACGACTAGTTATTTGCTTTTACCTGCACTTTTGGCCACCACTGTTGTAAATTGCAGTGTCTGGGAACTGTACTGCAAAACTGAATCAGTGAAAGTTGCAAGAAAACCAGTTCTACTGGGTAAACTCTCCTAATTCTGTCACTTAATGTGCAACTCGGTGTATAACGAGTCAACATTTAATGGTTCTTGAAAACTTAACCTTACACTGTCCTGAAATGCTTGCCCATTTCAATACC